CCTCAAATAAATGTATTTTTTTACCTGACTAGCTGCTTTTGTGATAAAAGCTCTTGCCATGAAAATAGGAAGAGAAAATGGAAGAGGTGGGGGAAGCATTTATAATTTCTCACCATTTAAGTTATCATTTGCTATTTTTAAAAAAAGCACTAATTAAACCTAACTATATGAAATGAATAGATTTTAATTTAATGAAGAGAGCAGAGATACTCCTCCATGATATTTTTCAGGCAAATCTAGGCATAGATAAGGCAAAGAAGGACAGACAGAAAGAATACCATAATGGAATTTTGCCTCATTTCTCCACCTTGATCTTTTGGATTCTGGAAGCAACAGATACTATTATTTGCCAATGAACCAGGAAGAAAAGCTAAGAAACTTGAGAGTTAATTAAGCATTATTACTATGACATCTTCATTTTTACAATTAGGCTTAAAGAGTTTTCAAAAGTGTGCTAAAAGGAGCTTTCTTAACTTTGAATTATTATTACTATTTTGTTTTGAATTATTATTGATTTCCCCCCTCTTTTCATCAGGGGATACACAATTCTAAAGATGTTGTTTGTGGTCTCAGTCCTTCAAAAAGTACTATGAACGAGTACAGTGGGAGTGAGTCAAGTCTCAGAAACACACTCATTGGTATTTAGTCAACTGTTTGTATATATTACTGTTTCTGATCATTATCAATTGTCTGCAATTATCATTTTTTGCCATTATTGTTCATAATTTGTGTGAACTTTTTTTCTAAAATGTACTCTTAAGTGTAAATCTTAAGAGTTACAAACTAAGAATTCAGGAAATTATCAGAGATGGATCATGTTAATAATTACTTAAAGTAGAGATTGCGAGTTGGTGAGCCACAGCTCAAGTCCAACCCATCGTGTTTCATTTCAACAGAATAGTGCTTTGATTTTGTAGTTATTTTTTAATTGAATTTAAAGTCTTTAAAGTGGCATGCACTCATTAATTCTCCATTTTCCCCAGTGCTCCCTGTTGTCTTTAACCCGCTGCCTCCTCAAATATGGCTACATCACCACCCTGATCCTAAAGCATCCAAGTGTGCAACCCCTGAATTAAAGAGCTTATCGCATCAACAGAATAAAATTATAACTTGAAGGAAAAGTCAAGTTCTTTACACTTTCTAAAATGCTTTTTCTTATGATTTTTCACAGGACGTGCTGAAGAAAGAGCTTAGAAGACTAGAAGAATTCTTTCAGTGTATAAATACCTGTCACCTTCCACTGAACCCTGCCCTCTATATAAAGGGGATTGATTATGATGTAAGTTAATTTATTCAGTAGATAAGTTGAGTATTTTTGTTTTGTATTGTTTAGTTCACAGTAAGTTTTTGAAATGGTGGCACAATTTATAAATGTTATGTACTTATTTTAAGAAAAAAATATTAAATTCCATTCAAATCAAGTACCCCGTTTGATGTATTGTGACCAGTAGGGATCACACTCATCTCATCAGAGGCCTTGTTGGCTTAGAAACAAACTATACATCAGTTCAGTGAAAAAAAATAATAAAGATGCTTTTCACTGAATTGATTTCTCAATTTATTCAAAATGGCTGATTCACTGACCCCAAGCAGACTGAGCTTAATTTCATGCTCATTTAGATTATTTGTATACCCATGCCTAGTAGAGTCATACATCATTAGCTACAAAATCTCCATTTTGATTCAATTTCAAATTCATTGATGCTCATGTGTCAATGTACCATATAATATATTTTGTGATTCTGCTCATGCCTGGAAAGCCCTTCCTGGTGTTGTCACACTTACAAACCCCTTCTCTTCCTACACCTCTGTCAGCCATCCTTCTCTGATTTAGAATCATTCTTTCTTCTCTATTCTCCATGAGCTTTATTTTTCACCTTCTCAAAAGCCCAAGGGTAGAAAATAGAAAACACTAATAGAGAGAAGGATGGATAAGTGAGATTTAGAAGTGAAGAAGTTCTACTATCACACATGCATAATAAATGTTACTTAACTGAAGTTATAAGACAATCAAGAAAACAAATCCAATAATTAGGAGAAAAAGTAGTCTATGTTACTATGAATATGAAAAGTTTTTCTAAAAACATGATACTGGGCCTGCTGAGTGGCGCGTTGGTTAAGAGTTGGCTTGGAAGTGCCAGCTCTGAGCAGCAGGGCCTGGTTCAGATTCCACATGAGGGCCACTGATGCTGCGCCCTCTACAGCTAAGTTGGGGAAAAACAGCTCGACCTGGAGCTGGGCTGTCATGATTCACCAGGGACAGCGTAGGCTGCAATGGGGCTGCAGGGGGCTGCCGTGAGCTACTGTGAGTGGCTGTCTGCCAGCATAAGAGGCCAGCAGCTGGCATGATCTGTTATGAGCCACCCGTCCAATGGCCGGCGAGCGACTGCCTCACCCAGGAAGAGTGCAATGATCACAATACCAACATGTGCCAGTGAAGCAACGTCCTCCACAACTAGACTGAAGAACAAAACGAGAGCAAATTGTCTGTTCCCCTTCCCCGGTTCCCATATAAAAAAAAATCTTAAAATAAATAAATAAATAAATAAGAACACGATACTATCACCTTTCCAACTTTGTTGCTACAAAGACACCCTACCAACTTTCCTAATATGCTACATAAACATATTTTGAAAAATAACAAAGTAAGGCATAAATTCCACAAACTAAGATATGTCTATTTGGACTAAAATCCAAATCAGTAATTTAAAAAAAAATTGTGTAGCTTTTTAATCATTAGCAGTGTTCACTAATTAATGCTGAAGATATGTGGAAATGCAGCATTCATAGATATAGTATCTTAAAGCAGAAAGAACAATAGGATCATTGAGTCCAGATGTTGGGTTTTTTTATTTCTGCTTTCTTGGTTTGTTGTTGTTTAAGGAGTAGATGGTTTTTTTTCAATTAAAAGTACATATGAGTTTCTGCTTGTGCATTTGAAGTTAGCTCTAATGGGTGGCTGCTGTGAGTGTCCAGGTGAGCTGGCCTGACTCCTGGGTCACCAGCCCAGTAGTCACCACCTCTAGGGCTGAGACTAGGTCCATACTCCTTCCCTGCAGCAACCTGCAGTCATTGGCACTTTCCCTAAGACTGGGAAGTGCCCCAAGTAGAGCCAATTCTTTGCCCCATTTGCTCTGACCAGTTGCGCCTGGCATAGGGCTACCACACCTGTGCATACAACCATGAACAGGGCAGGTGTGGTAGGTGACACTCAAATCTATGGAACATTTTAGTCTGTCCTCCAGTTCTACTGACAACAAGGAGGTCCAAAGGGACATACATTACATCTGAAGGTGCAATCAATAGGGCAACTTTCCAATCAGAGCCCACATCTGGTTGGCCATTAGAGGATCCATACCGGAAAAAGCCTCTATGTGAATAATGAACATGGTAAGACCTTCGGACAGACCTCTCAGCCAAAGGTTCATTTGAAGATCCATTGAAGGAACAAGCCCTATGAATGCAGGGAGTGTGAGAAGGCTTGTCATCCCTGTTCCCATCTCATTAAACACCAGAGACGCCACAATTGGGAGAAACCTCATAAATGCGATGAATGTGTAAAAGCCTTCACCCAGAGTTCCCTACTCAGTGACCATCAGAGAGCCCATTCTGGGGAAAAGCCTTCTGGATGTAATGAGTGTGAGAGGCCTTCGTTCAGAGTAAAACCCTTTTCCAACATCAGGCACTTCACAAGTGAGAAACCTTACATTTCAAATGAGTGTGGGAAAACTTTCTGTTCCAATGGAAACCTTGTCAACTATCAGAGAATCCATACTGGGAAGAAGCCTTATGAGTTTAATGAACACAGTAATGCCTTCAGTTGGAATAAACGTCTTATTTGTCATCAGAGCCTCCACACTGCGGAACAAGCCCATAAATTTAGGCAGTGTGGAAAAACCTTCGCTCAGAACTCAAAACTTGCTGACTATGAGCAAATGCAAACCAAAGAAAAACCTTCCGAATGCAAGGCACTCAGTCTGAGTAAGTGTCTTATTTATGTCACAGACTTCACACAAGCAAATTGCCCTATAAATGTGCAATCAAGACTCACATCTCATTATATATCAGAGAATTCACACTGGTGAGAAATCCTATACACATAATGAGTATGGGAAGGTCTTTGTTTATAGCACCAATCTTCTGGTACATCAGAGAACCCATCTGGGGAGAAACCTTATAAATCTGATGACTGTGGAAAGTCATTAGTGACAGTTCACAGCTTATCATGCATCAGAAAGTTCACACTGGAGAGAAGCCCCATGAATGGAGTGAGTGTGGGAAAGCTTACTCAGCCTTCTATTTTAGTCATCATCAGTGAACTACACTGGGGAGAAGCACTCAGGCCTGGCTCAGTCCCTTTCTTAAATCATGGTTCTCCAAGATGGATAGCAAAGGGTTCAAGTTTGAGTTAAGCTTTCTTAATAAAAAGAATTTTCACCTTTGTCGGTGGACAATTTCCTATTTCCCTTTGGGTCACTAAGGGATTGACTAGGAGGGAGAATGGGAGTAACTTGATGCAGCCTTTCTCCACTCCTGGGAAAGTAAGCACCAGACATTTCATTTACTAATATGTTTTTTTAAATTATTTTAAATTTATTTCATTTGTGTGTAATTCTCAAGAACAGAGGTCATATCTTCTATCTCACCATTTACATAAAATCTTCCTCCAAGACTCTGATTTCATTCTTTCCTGTCTCTATGGCCCTCCCGATCCTAATCTCTCCTTGTTTGCCTTTTCCTACCTAAAAAACCTTCTACTTGTTTGCTAACCCATGTCTCGCACAATCTTCAAATCCTGCTCATCTCTGAACTCTCTTCTTCAAATGCTTCTTCATTCAACTCTGATAAATTGCCTTGTAAATTATCAACTTAACATATTATGTGTACACGTTCATACCAACTTTTTGTAGGCTCTTTGAGAGTGAATATGGTATCTTTCTGTTAGCATTTAGGTAATAGTTTGTGCATACTAACCATTAAATGGTCGTTGAATATATAATATTTTGGCATGACTCTCAAAACTATACTGCCTGTGAAAACCAAAATATGAAACAATAAAAGCAAAAGAGCTCTGAATAATGTAATTAAGACAAGGGGCTAAGCCTTGCCATCAGCCTCCCTTTGCCCTTTGCTTCTTCCCTCGACATGGGGTGCCTCCAAAAGACCCCCAAGGAATTGAATGAGTCGAGTTTTAAATCTACTGCTCTAGACTCATTGCTGGCCTAACACAGGATTTCCTAATTCAATACCATGACATAGTGGTATGTTCCCTGATTGACTTCTACATGCAGCAAGAATTTATTACTTACCAAGCAGCCTCACCCATTTACTATAAAATTCAAACTGATTCAGTAAGCAAGGAGTTCTGTTTGCTATGGGATTAGGTGAGATTTATGTTGATAGCTTCAGTTAAGAAATAGATCCTTTTCCTCTCAGCTTTCACCAATTTCAGACTTCTCAGAAATAATGATATTCCAACTAATCCTTCAACATGTATTGAGGTCATATTTTACTAAGTTGATAAACTGAAAGTATCAAGTTCTTTTCCTTTCTTTAGTATTGATTGCACTCTTCACTGAGTCAACATGAACTCTCTAATAGCCTACAGACACACAGCCTTTTAACACTCAGACAATTGTAAGAACAGAAAAGGAAAACAAGAAAAGTATAATGGAAAGTACTCAATATTGTAAGGCTGAAAATGAAAATGCAAAGTATAATTGAAAGAAACAAAAAGAGAAAATATATGTTGTAATCTGTAAAGGTTAAGAAAATGTTCATTAACACAAAGGGGAAAAGAATGCATTAATTTTTTTAATTACTTGATTAGGCATTATAAAAGGTATTTTATATCCATTAGCTCATATATATATTATCAAAATGTGTGAGGTAGAGGTTGTTAGCCCCATTTGACAGTGGGATATAAACATTTAGGTAACTTGCCCAAGGTCTTACTGAGAATAAGTTTCAGAGTCCAGATTTGAACTTATCAGGGCTTTCTTAATTCTATATCCATGTTTCCTTACAGTATGCTATAGGGCAGAAATAAGTAAAAGGAAACATTTTTTTAAATAGAATGTTTCTTTTAGATATTAACCAACTAGCATAAGCACAATACCTATATACTACTTAGTTTATTTAAATCACCAACATACCACCACTGTTCAGTGAGAAAAAATGTAGTTGAAGATTTACCACCTGCCAAAAAACTGGCTTTTCAGTTTCTAAGTAAAGGCTTTGGTTGGTAGACTAAAGTATTTTGTTTATGTTTTTAATAAATAAGTTTCTTTGCTCCCAAGTATAACATTATCCATATGTGTTATATTTGCTCAAATAACAAATTCTGCAAGGGACCATGATTCCAGGGAAAGTGTTCTTTTTGTTTTATTTTGCTTACCATTTTTCTCTTCTCTTCTTATAGGCATGTTCATATTTCACATCTAATGCTTTGCCATTGAAGATTACTTTCATCAATGCTAATCCAATGGGCAAAAACATCAGCATAATTTTTAAAGTATGGTAACTCCTAAAATATCCAATTGATTACATGGGTGGAAATATTGATTTATTGCTCACAAAAAAATTATTATAGCTCTTTTCCTCTGGCAACAACACAGAGGATTCCAGCTATTTTTGATTTTGCATTTTTACAGAATTATAGTACATGCCAAACTATAATTTGCAATAAATCAAACATTACTGGGTTAAAGCCAGCAAACCATCAGTGTAAAACTTAAGAAAATATATTTCAGTAAATGAAATTATATGATCACTTTTGAGTAGCACAAAAAATGGAATGTATGGTGACCCCCAGTGGGGAGAGTTCTATTTTGGCCTAAATACTAAATTAAGAATCAAAACTAGTTGAAACTCAAATGATATAAATTAGTTTAACATAAAATTCTTATCTGCAAGCACTTGCTTATTTTGATAATTTGGGTTGTTTTCTTCATTTTAAATAAAATATAAAAATGGACCATATCAGTCTTTATCATGAATCCCATGGGTTATAGACAGGTGGGAAACAGGGACTAAAGAAGGAACAGTAAAGCAAGTAGAAAGTAAGGGTTTGCTAATCATTTAGTTAACTTAATTATTCAGCCAACCCAGACAACAAGGTCTCAAAGTGATGTTTTGGGTGGGTTCTGACTATTTTTGAGGATAATAATTAGCCCACCCATACATTTGCTTCGACCTGTATAACCTCAAGCATTAGTGGTCCCAAGACACTGTATTTTTGGTGAAATAAAATAGTAAGAAGAAATAAAAATAAAAACATACAAAACCTCATCTTGGCATAATTTTCTGCATGTGATTTAGAAAGCATTTTGGAAAGCAAACCTCTTATTAGTTTAAAAGCATAGAACTATCCTTCTGCTTTGGACATATTCCATTTCTTTCACTTATGCTAAAAAAAATCATCTCTTTATCAGTTCTTTTTTTTTATCAAAGGTCATTCACTCTGAAAACTTTTTAACTACTTTCATAATAAGAGAAGTCAATGATTCAAAGTCTGATGAATCATGTGTATATTATTTATCCTCATAGTCAAGAAGCTCTGGGTATTCTAACTGAACATCAGTGCATACATTTATGGCATACCAAATAACGTTTCACTTAGCTTTCTCTTGGCTGAGTGTGACATTTGAACAAACATTCATCCAGCCTCTCTTCACTAGACTTTGAGTCTAAGACGTTGCACATGGATAATAAATTGAAAGATTATTATCAGAACATGACATTCCAAGCAGCTTCTAATTTGAGAGTGAAGCTTCTGTAATCACTTAAAGGAAACCTCATTTTCTTTGATCTTCTATCAGAAACACAAGGTACTTTTAGTGCTAATAAAACAATTGAAACCACCCTAAGTCAGGCTGAAAATTTATTCAAGGAAAAAAATTATGTATACCACATTTGAAAGCTTCTAATGCAATCCAAAGAGAAACTCAAAGTCAATAATTTTTTTTTTTAACAGGCCGGAGATGATCTTCGTCAGGATATGCTTGTTCTGCAGATTATTCAAGTGATGGACAATATTTGGCTGCAGGAGGGCCTGGATATGCAAATGATCATTTATAGATGTCTATCCACAGGAAAAGGCCAAGGTCAGTAGAGATTAGAAAGTGGGTTGACTTATATTATTTATCTCACACATTCACTGGTAATACACCACCAAACTTTCCACAGCACTCATTTTAGACTATAAATTTTAAAATCCAAAGAGCTATAACAGTCATCCTTCTTTTTAAAAATGCTAAGCCAAAGTAATTTACCTAAAGCATAATGTTGACAACCCAAAAGTTAACTGTGATATTCTTTTGTGTGTCTTTAAAGGTGAGTTACATTAATAACTAACTCCTATTTTTTTCTCTTTTTTCTAAGATAATAATAGAAAACCCTACTCATTCAAAAAATACTAGTGACTAGTGTTGCCTATTAACACAAAATTTACAAAGTTGCAAATGCTTAAAGGAATCTGAAAATTCTAAATACATTATAAACTAGCATTTATTTTCTAAAAGTCTTTTGAGTGAAGTATATCAACAGTCAAAGGTGACCATACATGCAAACTTTGAAGATACTTCAAGCTTTCTTTTCCTTTATAAAAGTCAAGACATTAATATGGAAATATAATTTATACACATCTCCAATGATTATAATATCAATGATCCACCCAAATTATTACCAAAACATCAGAGGTAAAAGCTGTACTTAATTATAATCATGACAAACTGATGAAATAATTCGTAATATATCTTATAATTTTTTTCATATGTGGTCATTGTCACTTAGATTTTATTAAATTAATTGCTATAAATTATAGCAGATACATCTGCATAAATGAAGAGATTTAAAAAACCATAAAACTAGAAAAGGGACTTAGAAACATGTAGTCATTTTTTTTTTTAAATTCAGGCAGAGCTACAATTTAAACCCATCATCACAGAAGGAATACTATCACTGCCTGCCCCTCCAGTTCCTGAGATCCTACCACTAGGCCCAGTACCCCAGCCAATTAGACTTGAGATTTTAGAAGCTAAGCATGGAAGCACCCCCTAGTCCATTTAACTTGCAACTTGAACTTCAGAATGACTTTATTGTCCTACTACCCAATTATATTGATTATTATAATAGGGTTCTTGCTTCCATGCCAAGTATCCCACCCCTGGACCCTTTCTAAAGCCCTAGTTCCTAAAAAAGTCTTTTATCATTACTACTCTGAGATCATTATTCCTTGAGTTTTAGTCTCTGTTTTCTCACATAAGTGAATTAATTCTTTCATAGCCTAATGTGCAGGAAGTGTAAGAATAAAACTAGATGAGCTAAGCTGAGCTTTATTATGTCACACAGATCACCACTTCTTCAGAAATTGAATACATTGCTGACTTGAATGGAATTCTTCAATTCCATCTACTCATTTCTCAATGTATAATCATAGAATGTAACAAAGACTAAATCATTTAAAGTTAATAAAATGACTCAGAGAGGGTGACCAGTTAGCTCAGTTGGTTAGAGTCTGGTGCTGATAACACCAAGATTGATGGTTCGATCCCCAAATGGGCCACTGTGAGCTGCTTCCTCTTTAAGAGAGTCAACCATGCCATTGTAGCATGAAAGTTATGTGTAACCAATGACCATGCCTGTTCCCCAATAAAAAAATTTTAAAAACTCAGCAAAATGACTGTATATTTGCCCAAAGTTGCAGATGTCACAAGACAAACAAGTTAATCTTGCCCCAAATCCACCAACAATCCATAGTTATAAGATTTCAGACAGCATTATACTGGCAAAATATTTCTTTAAGAAAAATAGAGATCATTAAAGCAAATGTCATTTTTAGGAAATCATGTTCCATTTTTAATCAGGTTCCAAGGTTTATGGAATATCTACTGTTTTCAAGAAATGCCACAAAGTAAGGTAGGGGATACTAAAATGAGCTAAACAGAGTTGCGGCCCTTAAGGAGAGTATACTCCAGGCAAGGAGTTTACATGACTTTATCAACATCATTGTTGATTATAATTCTCATGACTACTTTGTATATGATGTCCTCAGAGCTTTGGAAGAGACCATCAGAGCAAACAAAAGTTCTTTATAATTTATTTCATTGCTGGCTTTCCAAATTTCATTGGCTTAAAAATTACTTAGGGGAATTGGAGGAGCAGATACAACTGGGTGTCACCCAGGGTACTAAGTCCGGCTCTCCACTGTGGGTGAAGCAGGGGGAGCAGGGCAGAGGCTAATGTCTTGGTGATTGCAAAAAGCTGCTCTGGTGTTTCTTATGCACCCCTTTTTGAGAGCCACCGCCTTATGATACCACCTTGAAAAGATTTGTCCCTAAGAACTTTACAACTTAAAGGGTGACCCATGGTCCAGCAGCATTGATATCACCTGGGAGCTTGTTTGAAATGCAGAATCTCAGGCCCCAGCCCCTTACTACTGAATCAGAATGTTCATTTTCACAAGCTCCCCAAGTGATGCAAATGTGCATTAAAATTTGAGAAACACTGCATCAGAGGACTATAAGAATGGAACCACACATATTACTCAATTTGCACAGAATTATGTTAGAAGTATTTAAAAGGTATAGGATTTGTACTAGCTTAAAATGTATAAAATGTAATTTATGGTTTTAATTAATGAGCAGAATTTAGCCACCATGATTGTTATAAGTTAGGTAAAAGGTTTTTTAGGTAGTCAGCAATGCAAAGCTTATGATAAATGACTTGGGATTTAGCAAAGATTAACTCCCGAAAGACAAATGTGGTCCGGAAAGCAACTGACATTGCTACAGCACAGTATCCAAAGGGTGCAATAATGTACGCCCTATTTCTGGGCATGGTCAGATGTGAGGCTGCAATGAAACACTCAAGAATTGGGTAAAATCTTCTTCTTTTTAACATATAGGTTTTATAGGTTATATTTGCAGCATTCAATTCCCACTCCCCATGTTTAAGTTTCTTTCTGATCCAGCAGTGTGTGCCCAATGATCACAACTGGGCTATTGGATATTATGAGAGATAAGAACCAGCTGCCACAAGCCAAATCCGACACAGAGAAGTGTTTCGTTTATCATCACTGTGATCTACTTATTCAATGTCTAATTTGCATGTTTTTAAGATAGACCATGAAATAGCCAATTTTAAAAACTCAACCATCTCTCTTTTCATATAGTTACATTAGTTTCCCTATCCCTTTGGGCATTTGCATTTGCAACTCTTGCAATTATCAAGATGGTAGAAACCAGAAATTCTATAATTTCTTTTATGTTACAGAACTTACATTATAGGTTGTTTTGTGGGCCTTAGTCCTGAGAGAGTTTTAAATACCAGGTTTAAACTGCTGTTCTATACAGAATAAAAATCTGGTTTGAAAGGTTTGAAAATATTTACATTTCAATAACCTTAGGAACACAATGAAAAGAAGTCTTGATGGTAATATGGTCATTGGGGCAAAGGTCCTATTGAGGTTTAATCAATATATGCTGCCTTAAAAAAATTATTATCTGTGTATTTCATAATAAAAATAATTTAATTAAAAAACAAAAAACAAAACAAAAACAAACACACACACACACACAAAAATTTATTATCATAGTTTCTCTCTAATGCTGACTGAGAAGGAAGGAGCAGGCAACTGTCTACCTGTTTACTACAGTTATTCTGTTCATTCCTAGAAATGGGACATTTAACAGTGAAGCTTTTATTAACCTGAACATTGATTTTTATAATATATTTTAAATATTTGTTATGGAGAGTGTATTTGGTTTGCTTACAAAACTTGTTAAATAAGTTTGAATGTCCTCCCTTAAACTGAATGAATGCACAAGCTATATGTTAATTAACCCACTAACCTATTGACTCAGTGGGGTCTCTGGGACACCGTCTATTGGGTTGTCGGAAAAGTCACGATGCATTTTTGCAACGGAAAACATAGAAAAATTATGTCATGATTTTTCCGACAACCCAATAGATTGGCTCTCTACTTTAGTTCTAGAAAAAAATATTAAAGCTGTTTCTGACACAGGTGAGCAAAAGAAAAGTAGTCTCATTGCTCCCCAGAATTTAGGAAAAATTGGAAGGAAGGTCAGCTAGAATCAGGCTCCATCAGAAAAGAAGATTTGGAAAGAGAAAGGATAATCCAAGTAGTACTGGCAACTGTTGCTGCTGTTACCTAGATCACGATGTATTTTCTAAGTATCCCTCACCCAGAATTATTTCCATAATCTCTTCTCTATCACCCAGGATTGGTGCAGATGGTGCCTGAGGCTGTAACCCTAGCAAAGATCCACCGCCATTCTGGACTGATAGGGCCGCTGAAAGAAAATACAATCAAAAAGTGGTTCAGTCAGCACAACCACTTAAAGGCGGATTATGAAAAGGTTTGTCCTGCTGGAGTGAATTTTAAATACAGTACTTAAATAAGAATATGTTTTGGTTCACTAAGTATTCTGATTTATGAAAAAGTAAATTAAGTACACCTTGAATTCAAATTCACTCAGTCTTCAGCCTAGTAATAATGACCCAATTTAAATGGTATATTAACTAGATAAAATTTTCTGTGTTTGGTTTTTCTTCTGGGTGAAATTCTGGGCTACCCAGAAAGACTTTCTTTGCTCAGCTGCCTCCCTTGCAGCAATCTCACCTGAGATGATGCTCTTTGAAACTACTCCCTTCAAGTTACCTCTGCCTACTTGTACACAATCTACAATTTTTATAAATCTCCCTCCTTCCTTTGCAATACATTTCTTCTTCCAATCTCAACTTTTTCATATTCTTTCAGTGTTTACAAAATGCATAATAGAGTTTTAATTTTTTATATCTCAGAACTTTATAAAATGTGTTGTTTTATTTGACTGCAAACATTTTTTTCCCACTTTACTTCATCTTGGCATCTAGGCCTCAGTGTACAGTTATGTAGGTTCTGCCCTACACCAGGGCTCCTGGCTAAGGGGATGAGTTGGTTAGAACCAGGCCTTGATCCAGTTGACAAGGCCTGAACTGGTACATCTGGGCCCACCCAGAGGCAGGGGCACCTTTATGCTAATTCACACAAAGATGCACTAAGGGCCAGCATTCAACTTGCTCAGAGCACTGTCCTGAGCACTGAAATTCCTTCATTCTAGGAAACCCTAGAATGGGATGACTGGTCACCCTAGCTAGTATGGGCCATGATAGAGAAACCCAAGAGTTCATCTACTCCTGACTTCTGTAAGATTGGAGTGGAGCAAAACACAGGCTTTGGGGGCCAAATAACAAAGAACAGAGGTTATCTTGAAATCCATTTTTTAGTCATTCTTCAGATTGTAACTTGAGTTTTGCACAAATCCCTGGGATTAGGTACTTGAGGTTTTTCCACGTACATTTGCTCTTCACAACCACAATGTGAAGAATCTATTTTATTATCTTCCTTTGATAAGTGATGAAAATCTAGACAGACAAATTAAGTGATTTACTCAGACACTTAGGATACCTGGAAATAAGGTGTCCTGGCATGTAGTCCAGTGCACAGTCCCCCACTCCAGCAAGTCAGCCACACCGCTCAAGGAGACCCATAACCATGGCCCAAACAATCACTCATAGTTACACTCACAGTTGCATCATTGATGAACATGATGCATACCCATGAGACCATTTTGAAAACAAAGAATAATTTTGGCAGGACATTTCTCTTCATTGAAGAAACATAAGCTACAATTGACTTAGTGGTAATCTGCTTCCACCCATAGCAGCATTCACTCACTGATATACAGTACTAAAACAATTTTGGATAGCAACTGGATGACCTATTTTCAAGGATAAACATAAAATGTTACAAATATCTCAACATAGCTTTTTCTATGTTAAGAAGTTCAAATATTGAAAAATTGAGTTTTAAATTCCTCTGGAGATAGGCAATATTGGGCCATATTGTTCCTTCTTTTACCTTGAAAAAAAAATCATCCAACATTGTAGACATCAAAAATTTGAGACATCAAAAATCACACCAAGGATCTTCTCTAGTAAATTATGAAAATTAGCTCCAACTCAATGAAAGAGATATTTCCCCCAATTTCATTGAAAACATTCATCAATTAAGCTAAAGAACAATTGCTCTATATTCTTCTATATCATATGAAGAACCAGTTATTTTTCCTCACCTGAGATGTAGACAAGGCTCTTGATTTTATTATTTGGCTTTTCATCATAGCTCTAGCTCTGATGCTAATGTATTTGCTCATTTTTTTGTGTGTATTATCTATGTGTTGTTTTTTTCAACTGATTAGGCCTTGAAGAACTTTTTCTATTCCTGTGCTGGCTGGTGTGTGGTAACGTTCATCCTGGGAGTCTGTGACCGGCACAACGACAATATCATGCTGACCAAGTCAGGCCACATGTTTCATATTGACTTTGGAAAATTCTTAGGTCATGCACAAACATTTGGAGGGATTAAAAGGTCAGTGCACAAATAATATTTATCACAGTAACTAAGCAATGTCCTAGAGTGATATACAACATATAATGGCATAGAAACCCAGCAGATGACTTGCTCCCCATCTATCAAATCACCAAAGATTACATAAACATGATTCTATATCTAATAACCTGGGTAAATATTGTTTTCAATGGACTGTTAATGGAACAAATTATGTTTACTCAAATTGTTAGTGGCCTAAATTGGCCTTCTCCCACAGGATAGTAATCATGTTTCAGTTTGAATTATCAGAAGTATGATATTGTTGGTTTTTTTTTATAAACCTGGAATGGACAACGAGTTTATGGTCTTGATACACCTGATATATTGCCCATAGCAATAACCACCCTTGGTCTACACACCCCAAAATTAGTACACTTCTTTCACTGAATTAGCCTCGAATCATTCTAAAAATGTTCATTGAGTACCTACCATCCAAGGTCTGAGGCTATAACAGTAAACAAGGCAGGTGCAAACCCTAATCTCTTTGTAGTAGAAATGATGGACATTAAACAAGTTAACATGGGAAGAAGTAATATGAATAAATGAGAAGTTTAATTTCTTATCAAGAAACTGAAGCATAGAAATGGGATAGAAAGTGACTGGGGCAGGGATGCTATTTTAAAGAGGCCTCTTGGGAGGGATGAGAAGAATATTCCAGAAAGGGAGAACAGCAAAAATAACAGCCATGAACATGGAAAAATGCGTGTCCAGTGACAGCAAGAAGGCATGGGGCTTGGAGGCGGGCTAGAGCAGGGCAGGCAGTAAGAGGTTAAGGTGAAGAGTTTGGCAGAGACGAGAACAAGTAGAGCACTGCAGACATGGTATGGAGGTTGGCTTTTATTTAGAGGAGGGATATCTAGTTTATGAAGGACAATGTTCATCAACATGTATGAGCATATACATAATTTACTAATGTAACACTTTTTCCCTAAACTCCACTCTTTTAAAAAACTTAAAGATTAGATTATAATTTGACACCTTTATTTATTTGCTGTATTGTCCACTGGGAATTTGGGTTAACCCTTATTCATTTATTCCATGAGCATCTGTATTGACCATGGGGGTGGTTAAAAAATGAACAAATATATTCCAGTTCTACAGAAAAAGTTTCATTGGGAGACATAGGAATAAATTACTAAATATTATGGTAAGCGCTCTCACAGGGATTATGGTGTACCAGCGTCTGTAGAAAAGGTGGAGCCCAATTTATTTGCTTGCTGATGTTACAGCAGCTAATTCTGCTGTTACAGTTTGGCAATTTGAAATCTTTTTTATACAATCTCTAAGGTATGTGAAAATGTGCCCAGTCTAGAGCCTTACTCATAGTAGGTTCAAATATTGTTTGCTGATTAGCTGGTGAATAAACCCTTCACTGGTAAGCCTTCAATCATCCAATAATTATTGACTGGATAATAAAAATGAATTTGGCACCATCTTCCCTTAAGATTATTGATTATTGACCACTAGCTAAAAAGGCCAACTGCAACATTATGATTTATTTGAATTATGGTTTGTAGGATTTTATCACCACCAGCAGCTCTATAAGGCTCATTGGCCAATGTCTGCTTGGGTTTCTTTCTTGATACTAATACTTCTGCCCTGAGTTTGTTTAATCATTAAACTGAACTGTGCCTACTCATTACTCACTTTATNTCCTCATTTGGTCTAAGGTACAATGTAACTGTCAATATAAACATTTCATAGCCCTGAGTCTAAATCTAGTTTTTAAAGAAAGACTACAAATATCTACTGAACATGAGCCTGGTATATGAACTTCATCTGATGGTGTTCAACTGAGGAAACAGTACCTGCTCCTGTGGTGTGGGAAACATTCATGATGTTAAACTTAGTAAGAGATAAAATGGCCTTTTCAAGTTTGATACATAAATTTTCATCATGCATATGGTAACTTTATGGGTGATTTAAATGTTTCAGTAAATTGGGCCTATTCTTGATTTTCACCTTCAACCTGATTTTAGAACTTAAGCCTATTTAAAGTATGACACCACAATCTACTTTCACCCAAGTGTTACAGCATTGATTATCTTTTCTTCAAATCCAGAGTAACTTCTGTTCTAAGCAGACACTGAAATTCCATGCAAAGCATAACTGTACACTTTCCCTTGAACTCAAGCTAAAGGGGGAAAAACATGGGAATTTGGAGGAGCTGACCAGTCTTTTCCTGTCCTCATGAAATTCTGATCTACTAGAAACTCATACCCAAAATATCAGACTTAGGAAAGTAGGGTGAATAATTTTGAAGAGGTACCTTTTTTAACTACCCTTTTCAAATAAGAGTGATAGTGTACCTGAGCGTGAAACTCCAAATCAGTATCTAAAGTTATTGAGCAGTTAAAGATCAGTAACCTCCCAGAGTCTACCATAGGACTCACAGTGCATTTACCAAAAAGGCTAGACTAGGGGATTGGGTGGGTTGGGGGGACATGCTTTACACTTAAGAGATTATCTGTGAGGATCTCCTTATTTAATAATTGCGTGGAGATTTATTTAATAAAGAGCATGGAGATCCCACAGAGCATTAAATTGTTCTTTTTGTAATAGTACACGAACCCTATGTTCTCATTATATTGCACTTATGAAGTTTCCTGTGTTGTCTAATTACACAAGTTTCAATTTTATTCAATGGAGATTCCAAATTTGCTTTCTCAATTAACTCATGGATATTAGACAAGAGACTTGTGTTCCTTCTGTTGGACAGCAAAATGTGCTCTCTGAACTGTAGGTCGTTTGTGAGATCAGGAAAAAAATGTAGGCTTAAACATCCCCCAATGTACTCTGTAGTCATTTATTTGTATGCTAATCGCACCATTCACCATGATGGGAGTCTGCAACTTTTAGACATCTTTAAAACAATATATTTTAATGTTACTATGGTATTTCCTGGGGACAATAACATTTGAAATTTATGAAATTAATAATAATAATTTCAATAATAAAAATAAAATGTGCCTCATTACTGAGTCCCATTTCAGTTCAGGGTATAAACACATATTCAAACACTTAAGTCTTTCAAACCTGGGACTAAAGTTTGTATATGTCAATTTACTTAGCTTATCAGTTACTCAAGTAAACGTCAGATGAACCATACTACAAAAAGGAGAAATATGTATGTTCACAGAGCCCAGCAGATGGATTCTACTGTCACGAATCCTTGACAGAGTTTTCTAACTTTCCATTTCCACTCTCCAGATCCCCTGCCTCCCTCAGCAATATTGAAACTTGTAGCTTTCCTCAAACTGAGTGGCAAAAAGCAAGCAANCTTTCACTTTGGTAATAATACTAGACTTGCATGAAGTCTTTCTTGCAGGTTTCTTTCCAGATAATTTTAGAAGCCATATAAGCAGTGGTTAAGGCCAGGTACCCTGGAAATAGACCGCATTTTTTTTAACCCCATATTAGCATGTGCTAATGACGTGACCTTGAGCAAATGGCATCCTTGTGCCGCAGTTTATTCATCTATAAAGCAGATTTGCTTGGAAGATTAAATTAACCGATATATGTAAATTGTTTAGAAGGTTGCCTAGTACCAAGTGAGGGCTCCATAAATGTTGTCATGAATTATTATGCAAGTATTCCAAATGAAGTGCCAAGAAATGAGAATGCATCTCTAGGTGAAGATTATTTCTTCTGCTTTACATTATCTAAACATCTTATTTTGGTGGTTTTTAAAGTATGTGCTTTGAAAATCATAAATTGAACTATTAGTTCTTTAGGTTCTTTGTTGACTGACTGGCTGGATTAAACTCTCAGGCTTATTTAGATTGTAAGGCATTTCACCAAGTCATTCTTACCTTCTGATATAATTTTAGACATAAGCAGAGGTGTTCCAGACTTGGCTCACACTCTTGCAAGAGCCTATTGTGTGTGTTCCTTATCAGCTTCACATTTAATAATATCACACTGATAGCCTGAAATCAGGCACAGTGGGAGTATAAACACAGTGAAAACTGGCAAATGTCACAAATGAGAGCATGTTTTTTTCTAAAAAAAAAAATGTGAGCTAGTTATTAAATATTTACCACCATACAATAGGACATAAACCTATTTAAAACAAATAAAAAATCATTCCAGAACTCAACAAAATAAAATTCAAACTGTTCTTTTCCTATTAAAATATACCAGGATGATCAAAATATGAGCTATCTCTCTATTTACAACATGGTTTATATCCATTTTAGTTTTATCCCAATAGCTCTCCAATCACCTAATTACTGTAACTCAGAATTTTCATCTCAATATTAGTCATAAAAATTACCTGTATCTATGATCATTTTGACATTTTGTTCAATAATTACCACAGATTTAAATATTTTAGTGTTTAATTTCTAATTTGAGTATTATAATATTTATATTTTAAATATTCTCAATTTAAAACCATCTTTGGAAAAAAACTCCATTAGCAGATTAAAAGATCAAGTTTTCACTTACTCCAATGACCCTGGTTTAGTGCAATATTCATAGTAACCCAAATGCTATATATATATATTAATGATCTCTCACATGCTTTAATTAGTATCTTAGTGTTCTTTGAAATTAGATGAGTCTTATTGGTCTGTTATTCACATGATAATTTATTAGGAAACATTGTGATTCCTTTTACACAAAGAAGGCCTTCATATCATCTGAATTTTCAGGAAGGAAAACACACTTTCCAATATGTCTTCAGCTGTGAGCGCCTTAGGACACCTTTGTATCCTAAGCACCTAGCTAGTACCTGACACATAGCAGAAGCTCGATTTTGGTTAACTGAAGGATCACTACAAAAATGCCATAAACTTTTCTTCTCTTGACCTGAGAAAGTATAATTTTTCTGAAGATAAAATTATTAAGAACTTGCCATATTCTGTTTTCTAACTGGAAATTTTCCAAGGGATTTTAACCTAGTGATCACTCTACATGTGGGACTATGGGATGAGACTCAACATTTGAGACTCACCACCTCACATCCATTAGGATGG